GTGCCAACAAGAATGCCAATGGCAATGACGACTTTTTTGCTGTCAAAAACATTACGCAATCATTAAAAGGTGGTTTTTGCCTTTGTTTGACCCAATATAAGTTTAAAAACCGGAGAAATGCATCCACATGTCTATATTTGTTTTAAATATGTAAATTGCAAACCCTGAACTTTATTTAAACTGTAGTTGCAGGGTTCGAAGTTAGCCGGTACAAACTTTGCCGGACAACAACAAATGGCAATGGCGACTTTTTTACAGTGAAAAACATTACGGAAGCATTCAAAGGACGTTTTTGGCTTTGTTTGACCCGATATAAGTTTCAAAACGGGACAAGTGCATCCACAGGTCTATTTTTGTTCAAAATATGTGAATTACAAACTCTGAACTTTATTTAATTAAACTATAGTTACAGGGTTCGAAGTGGGGGCAACAGAAATGGCCATCTTCTATAGTTGGCGCAAAAGTAATTTTGGCCGTCAAATTTTCAGTAAACATTTTTGGGCGAATAAGTTACCAAATTGATATAAAAAATAGCCTATTCGATAGATTACAATCTTGTGATTACACATACTTTGACCAAAAGGTACAAAAATAGTTTATTTTTCAGTTGCAGGGTTAGTTTTGCTAGCAAGTTTTCAGAATAATATGACAATAACAATTGCCGGCTAATGACATTCGTAATTCTATCAATCAAATTCAGTAAACATTTTTGGGCGAATAAGTTACCAAATTGATATAAAAAATAGCCTATTCGATAGATTACAATCTTATGATTACACATACTTTGACCACAAAATACAAAAATCGTTTATTTTTCAGTTGCAGGGTTAGTTTTGCCAGCGAGTTTTCAGAATAATATGACGATAACAATTGCCGGCGAACAACATTCGTAATTCTGTCAATCAAATTCAGTAAACATTTTTGGCTGAATATGATACCAAATTGATATAAAAAAGTAGCCTATTCGATAGATTACAATCTTGTGATTTCAAATGGCTTCATCGTCAAAGACAAAACAGGTTAAGTTTGTAGTTACAGGGTTAGTTTTGGCAGTATTTTCTGGAAATAATTGCTGCGTACGCGATTTACCGATAGCACGATCCAAATTTACATTTAGCGTCACTATAAAATAGAAATAAATGAAAATTTGGACGTATCTACCTTTGTTAGTATAGCCGCTCCACGACTACGATCCCAAAATTCAGATAATATGCTTTTTTTACGATATACTTTGCATAAACTACACGCAATTGCCTTTGTTTTTATGTAAATTTAAAGACTTGTTACCGTGGTAACCAAGTAATTGCTACGTGACAGGCACATCACGGATGTCACGATTTGTCATCATATTCTAGCTTGCGTTTCCAGTCCCTGTCTTCTGGATTGTCTATGGTGTGGGTCAGGGAACCGATCAATTGTGATTTCTTGTTTCTTTAACACTGAAACACCGTCACAGACAGTGCACCCGACAAGATCGAACGTGGTCACGTTCCGTAGTTACGAACCTAGTTACGTAGTCACGTAGAACGTAGCCACGCAGTCAGGTAGCCACGCAGTCACGTAGCCAGGTAGCCACGTAGTCAGGTGGCCACGCAGTCAGGTGGCCACGCAGTCAGGTGGCCACGCAGTCAAGTGCCACGCAGTCAGGTAGCCACGCAGGCAGGTGGCCACGCAGTCAGGTAGCCACGTAGTCAAGTGGCCAACGTAGTCAGGTAGCCACGCAGTCAAGTGGTTACGTAGTCAGGCAGCCACGCAGGCAGGTAGCCACATAATCAGGTGGCCACGCAGGCAGGTGGCAACGCAGTCAGATGGCCACGCAGTCATGTAGCCACGCAGTCATGTAGCCACGCAGGCAGGTGGCCACGCAGTCATGTAGCCACGCAGTCAGATGGCCACGCAGTCAGGTAGCCATGCAGTCATGTAGCCATGCAGTCAGATGGCCACGCAGTCAGGTGGCCACGTAGTTAGGTGGCCACGCAATCAGGTGGCCACGCAGTCATGTAGCCACGCAGTCAGGTGGTCACGTAGTCAGGTATTGGTCCCTTGCTTGCACTCGGGGTGGAAGAAAATCATCATACCTCTGCTGGTGTGACAAATCGTGGTGATTTAGTATGTAACACAACTTTTTGTTTTTCTGATATAAGTGTTCATCAAGTTCTAAACAACTTAAAACAACTATAGTAACATCCAAAGCTACTGGCGTAGACAAAATTCCAGCTAAAGTTCTTAAATTATCTGCAGATATAATTGCACCATCTCTGACAATAATCTTTAACCAATCACTACATACTGGCATATTTGTCAATGACTGGAAATTAGCACGTGTGCAACCGATTTATAAATCTGAGGATCGAAGCAAATGTAAGAATTACCGTCCAATTTCTATTCTCCCAGTTGTAAGTAAAATCTTTGAAAAAGAAATTTTTCAGCAATTATATAGTTATTTATCTGCAAACTCACTAATTTCAAAGTTTCAATCTGGATTTCGACCTAAACATTCATCGCTAACCTTACTTCTCCAGATGTGCGATGAATGGCTAAAAAATATGGATGAGGGTAAAATAACTGGTCTTGTTTCTCTGGATATCAAGAAAGCATTTCATTCAATTAACCATCAAATTTTAATGTCAAAAATGAAAGACCAGTTTGGTATTCGTGAAAATGAATTGAATTGGTTTATCTCTTACTTGACTGATCGTCAGCAAGTTTGCTGTGTAAATGACCATATATCCTCTTGGAAATCCATAGAACGTGGTGTACCGCAGGGGTCCATTCTCGGTCCTTTAATGTTTTTATTATATATTAATGATTTGCCGCAATATTTAAAATTTACAACTCCGGGTTTATATGCTGATGATACGCAGATATTTGCCTCGTCTGATAATTGTGATGAACTGGTGGAACTATTAAATTCTAATTTGAAAAATATTAGTAGATGGCTCTCGGATAACAAACTGCAACACCATACTACTAAAACTAAGCTAATGTTCATAGGCTCCCGGTACAATATCAAAAATAAAATTGGAGATAAATTAGTGACCTTTAAGAATAAATCATTAAAACGGTACAGATCTTTTAAATGTTTAGGAGTTGAGTTGGATGAACACCTTAGTTGGGAAGTTCATATTAATGCAATCTGTAAAAAGGTTGGTGCAGGGATAGGAGTTTTAAAACGAACAAAACCATTCGCCCCCAATGAAACCCTGCACATCATCTATAAGGCGTTAATTCTGCCATACTTTGATTATTGCTCCCCCTTGGTGGGATAATTGCGGAATTGTACTAAAAGAAAAACTACAGAGATTCCAAAATAGAGCTGCAAGGGTGTTGACGGGAGTAAGTTATGATACCAACTCCTCTGAGCTCCTTGAACGGCTTAACTGGAAAAATCTTGAAAACAGATTTAGATTTAATAAAGTGGTTCTGGTATACAACATTCTTAATAATGGTACGCCCCCTGTCTTCGAGAATTCTTTTCTGCACGAAGTAATAATGATAATGACTATCATCTCAGAAATTACGATACAGATCTCTCACTAATTCCAAAACCTATATAAGAAAGAATTTCTTAAAAGAAGCTTTAGGTATAGTGGAGCTGTACTGTGGAATAGTCTTTCTGCTGAGGCTAAGTCTGCTCATTCGATTTATTGTTTCAAAAAACTTATTTGAATCTTGTTTTTAATTGTTATTCCATTTGTAACTACACATTATGTTCTGGGTAATATTCTTTTTGGCTCTGTGCGTTAATTAATTTTTTCTTCATTTTTATATACTTGTAAATAGCTAAATAGACGCCGTATAGCTGATGAGCCGTATAGCTGATGAGGATAGCGTCTCTAAAGAAATTAAATACATACATAGAGGTGGCCACGTAGAGAAAAATACCGCAACAGAAAAATACAACAAAAACAACATATTATAGGAAATCACAATAGATCGAAACGAAAGTGGGACAGTATTGTATTTTGACTGTGTATATATAACGGTACCATCACAAGCCGACAAGGTGTAATTTAACGCATACGAAGCCATAACGAAGGTGCTATTTAACATCATGAAATTAAAAGTTGTACTAAAGAATACGCACTACTAAAAACTCCGGTACCGGAAGAATGCGCCCTTTTGGAGTTCTCGACGCCATCTTGCCAAGTTGGGAAAACACTGCATGTAGAGGAACAATACTATAACCCTAGCCCTAGGGACAATTCCCATTGGGATGAGGCAAAGGTTTTGCCATTATGCTTACTCTACTTGGCGTGTATCGTGTCAAACAAACTTGGCTAACCTACTATAGTAAAAGTCATTTATAGTAAACTATGCTATATTGAGCTATATATAAACATCGTTACAACAAATTAAAGGATGGGCTACAAAATATTAAACAATCTAATATATTTTCATCTTATTGATACGTTTGAATGATTTTAAATTTAAAAATATTGGAGGCGAAACCGGCCAGGATTCATAATTAATTGTGTAAACTTTCTCTGTTTATAACCAGAAAACGTTTGCACAATTGATGTTAAATTTACTGATTCTTGTTATAATTTCATCTAATACTTTTGAGTCTTTTTGACCGCCCGAGTGTATATATTGCCAATTTCAGATTTTGTTTACGGCCTGACCACTCGAAATAACAAGGCAGGGTCGACTTCTGGTGCACGGCGTCTGATTCGTTGATTCGAAACTTTCAGTTTCATTTTCCCCGCTCCATCACTGCTCAGGAACAGGTCATCCTTGCCTAACTTTTTATTTGATCGAAGTACAACAAATGGTTGATTGGGTGAACGTAATGCCATCACTTCAAACGATGTACCGTCGGTCATCTTTCAAAAAAATCAAAACTTAAAAAAATGATGGTCTATTCTCTACTGCTCTAGGCTCATTATATCATAATTATATCTGGTTTGACTCGGATGAAAGTTCAGGCATGACTGGATGTTATTGTAAGATTTTAAAGACAGCAACTGAATTAACGAACGGCTCAATTAAACAAGTTTTAAACACTTGCCAACTCAGCCTGAGGCAAGTAAATGATTGGTCGTTACATCCTCGGTCCGGTTGTATCGACTGAATTTTAAAATTATAGCTAACTCTAACTTTCGTAATTAGTTTACTAAAATGAACTGCCTTTTCATCAGCCCGAGTGAGTAAAACATCACACCAATCATTCCTGGTCGTTACGAATAGGTGGAGTTATTTTGGGCAATACTCAACATGTATACTATATTTTAAGATGGCATAAAATATTGTCTAAAATAATGACCAAACGATGTCAGAATCACTTTTATACAGCTACATATATCTCACTAACCTGAGATGCTGTTACATCGGTATGTGATGCGTGAACAGCGTACCAAGCGTTGTCCTTTTTAAACTTTAGTTCAAACATTAGCGGAATTGGTTGTGTTTGATCAAACCTGATGTCTGTTAAAGCTAAAAATAAAAACATGAAGGTCATGCATGCAGAATAGTTCGTTATTCTCGCAAAACACTCTAAGTTACAATCTCTGGTTTCTGTGGGGCCAACTTTGAATGAAGGCAAGAGAGACACCTGGTCAATGAAATAATGTGAAATTCAGTAATATGTCACGGATATGTCGGCAAAGTTGGTACCTCGACTCGAGTTTGTCGACTTCCAGCCTAGTTTCAGGCACTTTCTTCGTTGTTCTTATTTTGTTCCTGGGCACCTTGATCGATTACGTCACACTAATGTTCCACGTGCTAACATGCTTCAAGACGACAGCGACAAGACTGCCGATATCCTTTCATTTTGACACAGAATTCCGACCAGTGAATATAGTGCCAGAATGCAGTGGAAATTGTATTAATCTAATTTTTTTAGAAACTTTCCTCACCGTGGACTAACTAATTGTAAGGTCTGTGACACAGGCTATGAGACTCAGATGCTGCAGTATGGTAAAAAATGTTAACCAGATGTTTTAGCGTAAGCTCTCTGGACAATATAGTGTATAAATGTTGGCTGTTTCACCATGTACAGAAAGCGGAAGAGACGACCCAATGTTTCACAATGGGGGAAAAGCTTTCGGAATCCTGATAGAAAGAATGACCGTTAAGAAAATGGGTTCTAGGTAGTCTGCCTATTAAAGAAGTACCAACGTGGAAAAATTTGGGTATCATATGGAACGCCAACAACTAATTTACTCGACAATTGATCTCGCGTGTTGAAGAAAGGTTATGCAGCCATTGATATGATTGTAACTATGGGGTGTCGGAAACCTGAACCCAAAGATAGCAACTAAGTTATAGTTGTGAATTGTGGTACTTAATTTTCAAACAGTTTTCTAGCTAAACTTAGGCCCGTTTCATACGCCGTACTTCACATGTGGCGAATACATTACAAACAATAGATAATGAGGTATTTCAGCTCATTATCTATTGTCTTTAATGTATTCGGCACATGTGAAGTACGGCGTATGAAACGGGCCTTAATGAGAAAATTCAAAATTTATTTTGCGTATTGCACAATCGCTACTTCCGGGCATTTCAGAATCAGCAGGAGTTGGAGGTCTAATGTGTCTTTGTAACTTAGAAACAGAAATGAGTAGGAGAAAGCTGCATTTTTTGGATCGTTTTATCAAGTAGCTCAACACAAACCTTCACAAAATTATTTGCACGTCCATTGATAAAATGGAAGTGGAGAAATGATGCTGTAGATGGATTTAATCCCGATCTTATTAGAATTTTGGAAGAGTATATGGGCTTATGAATTTTTTGACGGCCTTTGTAACGTCTGAAAGGTTTCCATCGAAAAAGCACTGGAAGAGGATTGTTAATGAAGTTGTACAAGGGAAAGAAGAGTTGGCTTGGTCTGAAAAACCTAATGAAAAACCGGTTTTAAAGCTCTATATGCAAGCACATGAACATTTAGACATTAATTTTTGGTATGAAATCTGGGATTTTGCTCCAATGAATTCTAAAATCGTTGTCCATGTGATTCGTCCGCGGCTCTGTGGATCTCTTAAAATCGATGGTAACAGAACTGATAACTATAATGTTCGCATTCGCTCTATTGTTCCATTTGTAAAAGGTTTGTGATTAATCCTGCATGCATCATGCATGCTGTTATATAATTGTATAAACACTGCAACTCAGAGAGAATACGGAGTTTAAGCTTCACGTTTCCGGGAACGGCAAACGGCAGGTTCGAATTTTCTTGGCAAAATTTTCGTTGAACGTTTTCGTTTCATATTTTCTTCCTTGCGTCGAAAGAATAATTAAGTATTTCAGTTTTAAAACAGCAAGTTCACTTATTCTTTATTGCCTGATACCATAAAATTTTTCTTTGCCTGGCGTTTGCCGTTTGACCATAGACAATCCAGAAGACATCTTGATTGTCTTCTGGATTGTCTATGGTTTGACGTATAACGCGAAGCTTAAACTCTCTAATATTGGTGGGCGTGGAGCACTGATAACTTATCCGACGACATAATATGGTACTTTTTAATTTCTTGGATAATGACCAATTTGTTCAGTTAATTACTGGTGGTATGCCGACGAACATGGCCACAATTATAGACAGTCTGAATATTGACTTTTGGCTTCGATGTGAGTATATTCGTAATTGAAAACTGCATGAGAGAAGTTTTCACTGACTATATAGTCGTGATTGTAACACTGATATGTAAATTACTTTGATGACATTTTCATTTATATTTTTTTTTATATACATAATTATTTATTATTATTTTTGTAACTCTTCAGTTAAATGGAGGAAATAAAAGACTTTACAGTATTCGGACAGGACAAGACATTGTATAAATTTTAGCTGTTTCTTAGGCTACTATACAGACACCGAAAGAGACAGATTAGAATAAATGTTTCACAATGGAGGAAAGCTTTCGGAACTCCGTGATAAGAAGAACGATGCATTAAGAAGCAATTTTGTCGTACAATTTCGAAATTATGCTAATTACGTATGGTTGGCCTGCGTGGCTGGCGGATAAAAGAAAATTTCCTCTTCAAATCACCAATGTTTGTACGATGGTTTTCGAAAAAAAAAGCAAGTATTGAACATGCATAATTATACATGCAGTATTATACAATTACTTTATGGTTTCCGTGTTTGGATGGCCTGATCCAAACACGCGGGAATGTTGCGAGAGTTAAGAAAAGCGAGCGAAACACGAGCCGAAGGCGAGTGATTTTGCGCGCTTTTCTAAACTCGAGCAACATTCCCAAGTGTTTGGATCAGGCCATCCAAACACGGAAACCATAAAGTAATTGTTTTATAAAATAACTACAACGCGGTAGTCTTCCGTGTTTGGATGGCCTGATCCAAACACGGGTTTCGACCAATCAGAGCACGCGTTATATACATGTTATTTTATAAATTGTCTTACGCATAGTTGTTCCTTCAGCTTCACCAGTTGCCGCCACGACATACGCTTGACTACCTGCAGATGAAAAAACTGATCATTATCAGAGGATCATTAAGAAAACTTACAGGTGAGTCGTCATGTAACTTGTTCACTCATTTATATACGCAGTTGGCAGTTGGAGTGCTCGAACCAGATTTAAGACACATTCGCTGATCATGCAAAGACCCTCAAGGAAACGATAATTTATTGGAGAGAAGAAAGCAATGTAGGGTCATTGGTATGTGAAATAGAATATTGTTAAATTGATAACTCTTTACCTCCAGGCGCAGTCACTGTGTCATTTGTCATATATACGTATTTACCCCCAGATGTACTATTGTAAGACCACAATCGACGAATATCTCCATCACCAATGGCAACGTCCTCGACAGGAACAAAAGGAACTATTGAGAAACATTTGAAAACACAGATTTTACAAAACTGAAGCTTACGGACCAAAATATCCTTACCCAGTATAACACCCAAATCTAGTACTTCACTTCTCATAATGCAAGTAAGTTGTTTTCATTGCAGGAATATATTTAGATTTCCTGAGCCGTATTTTTTTAGATTTTCTCAACAACATTGCAAACAGCAGGCAAGTCACACAGTGCTTGGAGCGTATAGGGGCCGGTTGTATAAAAACGTAGTTAAAATTAACTGCATGCATGCAGTTAGCGTTAACTATTATACGGCAGTTAAATCCTTAACTGTAGTTAGTTGACTACATGACTTAACTGCGTTGCACAAAGTGTAGTTAGACGGATAGTTAACTAATCATGTAGTTAACTGTGCTTTTGGGAAGATGAAAAACTTAATTAGTTCATCATGCATGTAATTCTTGTTAAAATAAAGTTCATTATTATTAAACGGGTAGTTATATGATAGTTAAGAGTTTTATATAACCAGCCCTAGGTGCTAATTAACTGCTATCAGAACTGACTTAAACAAACCTTCATTGTGATGACATTCGCCGGATTTGCTGGATTCTGCTCCCATTATCTACAAACGTAAAAAAACACATTTAATACATCTCGATTCTATAGTATTTGGGGAGGGAGGCAATCCCCGACCAAAATGTATTCACGACCCAACGTTTCATGCACATTCTTCATCATGGCCGTGATCTGGTAAGTCACAGCATGTGACATCATTGCCGTTGGAAAACGAGTTTATCTATTGGTCGAGTGTCGAGGGTAAAATGTCGAGGGCGAGGGTAAAAAGTCGAGGGCGAGGGTAAAAAGTCGAGGGTGAGGGTAAAAAGTCGAGGGTGAGGGTAAAAAGTCGAGGGTAAAAAGTCGAGGGTGGTATCCGCCTGATGATTCTTTACTGATGAAACAGACTGTTGCGGAATTTTGAGGTAAGCGAAATTCTACATTTGCTCTATCTTTATGATATTAATTGAGCACTCTTTGCGTTTCGTATACACAAACCTACTCCTGCCAATTTTACCCAAATTATCCATAAATAACCATGCATTTTGAGGAAAATTCGGGAAAATTGAAAAATTTTACAAGGAATTTCGACATGGAAACAGCAACCTTCGACTGTTATATCTGCCTCGTACCCAGACGTCTCTTTAATATACTTTCGTTTTCATTATTAATTTTTCGCGATCGAGAGGAAAAGGCGGCGCGCGAGAAAAATGGCGGTGCGCGAGAAAAAAAGGTGGCGCGCGAGGGAGGGCGGAAATATTAAGTCTGAAAACTACATTGGAACCATTGACAAGAAATCTTAAAGATTGCCAAGAAGTCGACAACAAATCTCGCAGGCGTCTCCTCCTTCTTTCTTTAAGTTACGAGGTCAGTATGCCACAAATTTCTATAACTTACGAGGTTATGCCACAAATCTCTATCTGCCCAAACCTAAGACCGAATATCTTAAAAAAGGTCTTAGTTATAGAGGAGCAAAATTGTGGAATGGCCTCCCAGATAGACTAAGAAATAAATGTTCTCTTAGTCAATTTAACTTGGGTGTGCGGCACCTGGCCAGTTAGATAATGAGTTTATGAAATTTTATTTATTTGACCATAGTAGAGTAATTATAATTGTATAATTGTATTGTAATGTGTTAGTCTTGTATATATATATTTATCCTAATTGAGTGTAACGTTTGTATTTTTAAACCTACGCCCCTCTTGGAAATCAGCTCTTGCTGTAGGGGTTAGCGTAGACAAATAAAGTTTTTACTTACTTACTTACTTACTTTTTACTTACTTTCCCCTTCCCGCTCTCCCTCGCGCGCCGCACTTCGCGCCGCTTTTTTTCTCGCGCCGCCTTTTTCTGGCGAGCCACATTCTCTCGCCGCTTTTCCATCTGCTTTTCATCTACTTTCCTTTCGCGTTCGCGCTGTAACTCCTGTAAGAGACCAAGAGACGCCTGTGGAGGAGGCAGCTGTTATATTTTATAGAAGTGTATATTTTGAGAAGAAAGCGACACCGTTCTATTCAGCGTAAGAAATTAATTGTACTTACAAGTGTATTACTAAACACCAGTATTCTAGAGATTTATGGCCTTTGAAAATGAAGCGAAATTGTGTTGTTCACAAATCGCTCGCAGTACGAATTCTTGACCACAAATCACTCGCACTACGTTTGTCCACAGGTTTGTACGTCCTTGTGTTTGTAATGCCTATGGCACAGAATAAAGATCAGTACCAGAACTCCACTCAGCGGTGCAACGTGTCACCATTTTTCTATGCAAAAATGGTAATTGCTAGATAGTATACTTCAAAATAAGATTTCCGTTTTTATAACGTAGAAAAAACCATCCTAACGCAAAACTAAACTCTAACCCTAACATTAAACTTAACCCTAACCCCAACCCTAACCTAACCATAACCCTAACCTAACCCTAACTTATTTAAAAAATGATATAAAAACGGAAACCTTATTTTGAAGTATACTATCTAGCAATTTCCATGCAAAAATATGCAATTGACTGGCCAGGAAGATGGCGGCCAGCCAATACAGCGCGTTTATTGGCCAGAAAATGTAATCGACTGGCTAGGAAGATGGCGGCCAGGGGGCCCTTCTGTGTGCCTTATTCTGCATGTGCCTATGGCGCAATAAGGATAAAAATACCACCGTTCGATTCAGCGTAAGAAATATTACTTACGGATGGCAAATGTGTTGCTAAGCACCAGTATTCTAGCGATTTATGGCCTTTGAATTGAAAATCAAGCGAAATTGTATTTGTTGAAAATCGCTCACAGTACAGTACGTATACGTATTGACAAATCACTTGCAGTACGTTTCATAGTGTATTTGTAATGCCTAATGGCGCAATAAGGATAAAAATACCACCGTTCGATTCAGCGTTAGAAATTGTACTAATTATACGGATGTCAAATGTATTACTAAACAACAGTGTTCTAGCGATTTATGGCCTTTGTCTTTGAAAGCCAAGCGAAATTGTATTGACAATCGGCGCTCAAAATTAATAATTCATTAAACTAATTATAAAAAAATGCAGTACGTTTGATCCTTGATAACTTTGGTATCATTGGTTTTCTGTTTTCGGCCGTATACCAGTGGATTCGTCTCACTTCTCGCTTCATTTTGATAGTATTTTGAGCCAAAAAGCCCCCAAATATTTTATTCTGAACGTTTTAAAGCGCAGTTTAATAATCCTAGACCAACTGGCGGCTGACAGTTTTGAAGAAGAATGTAGCGTTCTATATAACTTTACTTGTAGGGCCTACCGCATTTTATTAATCGGGATTGTAGAAAAGCTTAGAAAGCATCGAAAGGAAGATTTCCACAAAGCTTTAGCAGAAGAAGATTGGGAGGATGTATCGGAGTCCACGAATGTAAATGACGCTGTTAGTTGTCTTGAACGTAAGATCATGGATCATATGAATAAATGTATGCCCACAAAACAGTCTCAATTTCGTCACGTGACCCTTACTGGATTAGTCCTTTAATTAAATCTTTGCTAAAATCTAAATCCAGAATTGCTTGGTCGCAAAAGGATAGACTCAGTTTAATTAACAAAAGGATTTCTGATGTCATTTGTCTAAACAGAATACATTTTAGGGCCTTGATGGGAAGTAGAACTTGGTGGAGAAAGACGAATGATATTTCTCAGCGAAATGCATCGTCATCAAGAGTTACTTTAGATAATGCATCACTTACAAGATCAAATCGCTACTTTGGCGAACTCTGCCACGATGATAGTTATGTCGAACCGACGCTCTCAATTATTGGTGATGAAGTAGATATTCCTAGCTTTACGGAACAGCAGGTATGGAATGCCTTGAAAAGAATAAAGAGGACAGCAACAGGTCCCGATTATATTCCCTATTGGGTTTGGAATGATCATGTTGAAATTCTAACTGAAGTTATAACTAACATCTGGAATTTGTCCCTCTCATCACATACTTGGCCAGATTCATGGAAAAGAGCGAATATTAACCCTCTTGCAAAGGTTGATTTACCAAAGGAAGATGGTGACTTTCGTGGAATAAATATTACACCTGTAATTGCGAGGACCTTCGAAAAGCTCGTTTATAATAGTCAGGTCAAGTCGACAGTTGAGGAAATTTTATCCCCAACGCAATTTGCGTACAGGCAGGGGGGAAGTTGTACAAACGCTCTGTTGACTATTCAGAACAAAGTACTCAGCTTCTTAGATAGAGCGGACTGCAAAGCAGTTAGACTGTTTTCTATGAATTTTAACAAGGCTTTCGACTCCGTGAAACATTCACTCCTCTCGGAAAAGTTAAAAAATGCGCCACTCAACCCTTATATCATAAATTGGTATTTAAATTTTCTAAAGAATAGAAAGCAAAGAGTCGTTTGTAACGACTTTTGTGGAGAATGGATGGATGTTAATAAGGGTACAACACAGGGGAGCGTAAGTGGCCCCTACCTTTTTAATATTTTCCTAAATGATTTAGAGGTGGACATAGACGGCGTGAACGCTCTTTTTAAATATGCGGACGATTCAAATATAATAGTGCCAGTTTGGAGTGACGGTCCTGATACATCAACAGATACAGTTGGACAATTCCTGAGCTGGTTTGACGATAATTTTATGACTTGTAACCCTGGTAAATGTAAAGAGCTTATCATCCGGAAGAAGGGATATAATGATCAACTCGACAATGTTTATAATATACCCCAATGCAAAGAACTTCCCATTTTAGGTACTACTTTTCAAGACAATCTCAAGTTCACCAGTCATGTGCGAGGTAAATTGCTCAAAGCAAACAAATGCTTGTACGTTATACGAACACTCAGGGCAGAAGGCTATAGCCAATGTGAGATAGATTATCTATTTAAGACCCTAGTAATATCTACTATAACGTTTGGCCTGTCCGTCTACGGTTCTTCTCCAGCCGAACTCAGTACTCTACAACGGTTTTTTTGACAGATGTTTTAAGCGAAAGTAGGCTATATTGATCAGAACCTGTAAATATTAGATATCTTTTAGAAATACAAGACAGAAATATTTTTAAAGCTTCTGTAAATCAGAAGACTGCCATAGTCGACTTGATACCAAGAAAAAAATCCACAAGCTACTCTTTGAGGACAGAGTTTAGTCAGTATCCAAGAGTGAACACGGAACGTTTTAAATTGTCGTTTGCAAATAGATTAATTTTTAACTATATAACCTATTCATATGATGTAAACTTTACTAATGTATTCTTAATATTTACTTGTAACATAAGATATGTATTTTTATCTTTTGATCTAATAAAAAGACTTTTTCAAATTAAGCCTTTCACGCTCGTGTTCGACTTTTCCGCTTCCCTCGGGGAAAACCTTAAATCTTGAAGTAGCTGTGTACTTTATGTATCATGTACATTGTACACTAATGTGCGTTGTTCAGTATAGCCCCAGCGAGTTAACGCTCCGTATATAGAGCGTCTTGTTCAATTAAGGTTGTCCTTCCAAAAGCATAAACCTTAAACTCTGAGCGCGCAAGGGATGATGGGTTATTGCTTACTTAAACTCATAAATTTTGAAATTTGGCTTTGCAAGAATACCTGAGAAAACCTGAGGCATATATAAGACTCATAACAGCAAACATACTTCCTGCAAAGGCAAGTTTCTGAGTTTAAGGGTTTAATAGGTGAAAATCCATCATCCCTTGCGCGCTCAGAGTTTAAGGTTTAAGGTTTTGGAAGGACAACCTTAATTGAATCAGCTGTATATATATATATATATATATATATATATATATATATATATATATATATATATATATATATATATATATATATAGTTTTTATCTTGTTTTACGTGGTACGAAACTGTATAGTAATAAAATATGTCAAACAAAGCTTGCTAAGTTTTTGTGTCTTTCTATATATATATATATATATATATATATATATATTTTTAATTTTTTTTTTTCGTTTTTATCTACAAAGTGTGTGCAGTGATAACTAATTTGTGCAGTGATAAAAGTAAAATGTGCAGTGATAAAATGTAAAATGTGCAGTGATAAAATTTGCTTTGATAAGTTGTTAATTAACACAAGAAAATGAGACAATGTCAATGAGCAGAAAAACTAATCTGAACTAATCCGGCGAAACATTTTGAATGAGAATGATTTAATTGGAATTGAAATGATGACTGCCAAATTAAACGTCCGCACTAATAACATACTTATGGTTCATCAGATGAACAAAGTCTCTCACGAAAGATCTCTTTATGGGTTTGGAAGATGGAGTGAATGATACTTAAGATTTTGTAATTACTGTATAATTTTCATAATTCTATAGAATGTCCCCACGCATTGCAGGAGATGCCCTTTTATAGTACCTAGATTACAAAATTGTCTGTGGGTGGATGTCCCTGGAACTCCTCTAGAGATTTGTCACGCCAAAGCCCGCGTAAGCCGCCTTTCATTTGCCAAGAGGAAAATATTTAATTTCTTCAGTCATGTTATTATGAAACTAAGCTGTCATAGATAGTCGTAACTGCAGGTGCTGTCAAGGCCGCCCAGAGGGTTGCAATTTGCCCTGGGACCCGAGTTAAAGGGGGGCCCAAACAAAGAATTGCAGTGAAATATACCGCATAGATATAACTGTCAACTAGACTTCCAGAATGCAGGATATGGCCATTTCTGGGACCTCAGATTTCAACAGAGGGATGCACCAGGACCCCTTTAATCATAGTGTTAGAACATGGAATCACGAGAGCCCCCAAGTCAAAGTTTGTCCTCGGCCCCAAAATTTCCCTGATTGCTGTGCAGTGTATGTTCGTTTTGGCATTTTTGAATATGAATTGTAGCCTGCTTTGTTGTTACACATTTTATAAGGGTGTGTTCAGAAATTTTCAGGGCGTGCTTCTGCTCGGCTAAACTTTGCACAAAAATGTGCAGTGATAAAAAATTCTTAAAATTAGGTATGCATGCCAGTTTTTCATTATAATCCTAATTTTTTCTGAATTCGAACAGTACGTATGTTATTATCTAGTTTAACCTATCTTTTAGTGTGTTTTTACGTATTTACGTTCAGCATTGTCTTTCGTAATGTTACGAACTGTCACACTGAAATGATACTGTCTTCTATTAACTCTTGAACAGTAGTGAACTGTCGCCGAAACTTATGTAAGTCCTGTCAATCAATTCAATTCACAGGTATCGTTTTATCTGCTAAATCAAATAAAACAGTTATGAGTTGTTTTATATGAAAAGTTAATAAACTTGTAGTTCGATGTTTTGAAAAGTTTTCACAGCGATATTAACAACAAAAACAAATGTAAAGAAACACTGGATTTAATACAATGCGTAATAGTGTTTTTATTATTAGTATTTTCAAGATTAATATTTTATTTTCATGTCAAACAAGTCAATAATATCTGTTTTCGTATGTATTGTAAGCCAAAAAGTTGAAATCACTATAAATCACACGCTACAATTTACACGCATGCGCAGATCGTGCTAATGTTGAGTCGATTTTTTTTCATGCTGGCCGCGCCGATTTTAGCGATGATTTTCTCGTGTTTTCTTCGCCGGAAATTTTTTTAAACTTTGTATTTTTGTTATACAAGACGAGTGGTACAACATACCCAAATTTTAAGAAATTCTACAAATAACTTTTTTTGTAACCGTAACGAATATCTCGAAAACTTATTTGTAAACCTCCCTTCAAATTTTGATATGTTTTTCCTTTATGGACCATAAATCTTCAAAAAAATTTCCAGAAAAATTCACAGAAGGAAAATATAGATATTGTCAATTTATTGTGAAATTAGACAATAAAAGTGCAAAAGATTAAACGTCATGGTTGCCATGGCAACACGAACACTGTTTTACTTTGTTCATAAATGGACAGCACACAGCTTCTGAACTTTTCTGGAAATGATCATATTGCCCTGTCTTAAGCCGTGTATTTAATATAAATTCGGTTGAAAGCGAACGTTACTCAAAATACCTAGAATTGTAGAGAACTGTAGGGAGCCACCTTTAGTTTACTTTGATGACTGAAGATAATAAAGTCGAAACGTTGAAAATGTTTTAGCGATTAACTTATATACTGTATAACAAACGTTACACAACAAATACAACAAACGTTAACTCAGGTCTATTGTGAGTTCTTGTAAATAATCCATTTAATATTGCATATCACATTGCTGATATAAACAGTAAATTTCTATATAAATGATCAAATATGAAGACTTACTCCGTTTCTTCCAGCGTCTTGGTTGTCTCAAGGATAAGATCAAAATATGAATTACAAATAAATGAAGCTCAATTTAAAGACTGATGTTTCTATTTTAGGAATTGGTCCTTAATTATCCCACAGGAAATGCATACTTCTTATCTTTCATTGATCTCAAAGTCCCAACACATTTTAATAACTCGCCTTTTACGTTTATAAAAAACAGTGATATTAGGGAGGAATTCAAAAGTGAGACGTCATTAGTACTTATAAACTCTCACTGTAACTGGAAAGCAGTCTTTATATCTCGCCTCCGCAAGTTACACCTTAACTTCGTGTTCCGCTCTTATAATGACGAACTGTAACGCCTGACTGTGTACACTGTAATCTAATGATTCTTGATTCTATTATAGTACCATTATCTCAATAAAAAAAACATTTGAATTGTTAGGGCGACTGCCATTATAACATGACTAACATTGTATAATCGTGTAAATCTCGAAACTAAAGCAAGCAAGCAAGCTACTGACTAACAGCGGAATTCACCTAGCTCTATCGCCCTTTCATTACGTTCAGATTCAAATAAACATCCGCTGTTTTCATTCTTAAAGCTCACACACAATCACACTTATCGCATACACTTTTCTTTCTGAGATATGCAATTTGCTTTAAGCCAACGAAATATAGTTTTTTGCTACCTCCATGCATGCACCTCAACAAATACACTTTATTATAAATCATACACAAAGCTAAATGCTTTGGTTTTATCCGTTTAATAGTTATTTCATAAAAAACTCGTCAATATAGTCTTTAACTTTTCCGCGGGTGTGCCGTGTATATGTACCTATGAAAAACACCTATTTTAAGGTGTGTTGTTTTGCGGATGTCATGACGAAGGGTCATCGAAGGTCTACATGCATACACGTAGGATGTATATGATAGCGTGGGATCATCGAGTCAAAGTGGCGTATATACAAGTGGTAATTAATAGCAACATTTATCATTAATTCACTATCTATTTGCAACAACGTTACACTCACGCAGGTTCGCCCGTTCGACCTTACACCGTAATGTGTTGCTAGAACATCAAGTATTTGCTTGATATACAAATCAATAAATCGTCTCGGAAATAGTTTCCGCGAAAGTGTAAAATAAACATGCACAATCCGAGTATTAGCATCTTGAAACTCAAGACATGTGAGCCAAAACAAGACGAGAATGAGTTTGTAATATTTCGATTTTTATTTCAAAATAAGACAAGGTATATGTTAAATTATTTCCAACTATAGTTCAAAAATATTGACTTGTTGTCCCCAATCACAACCCAATCCCTAACCCTAACGGCCTTCTGACCGTAACACATAACAATATATATAATACCTTATTAAATTCTAATAATTTAATTGGCTGTTTATGGTCACGTGATATTGAATAGAAAATTCCATTTCCCAAGAGTGCAATGGAACACGTTCCATTGCACTCTCCGCGAGTGCAATGGAATAAAACGTATAGTGCAATTGCACTCTTTGTGTTTTCGATAAATCGCATCCCTCAAAATGCTTCTCATACGAATCTATTAGTCTATTTTGGTATTATATAAAACAAATAATGAATGTTTATGAGTGCAATGATAAGAATATTTTCATTCGGTGAAAGATGGAATGTTCCATTCAACTCGGCTGTCGCCTCGTTGAATGGAACATTCCATCTTTCACCTCATGAAAATATTCTTACCATTGCACTCATAAACATTCATTATTTGTATAATATAACCGAGGTTTCAATAGCAACAGGTAGGGTTACTAATGGAAACATTTTCAGCTGTAATATTTTTGGTCACTTTACTTTCGCTGTAATATTTTGGTCGTTCATTCAAAATTAAAAACCCAGTTCAAACGAGGCCAACATGTTGGTCCACATCATTCAACGTTGTTGAATGTTACATTGTTGAGTCTGTTGACCTTAGTTGAACACTACGGTAATGTTGTCTGATGTTTGAAGATGTTGGATTTGGTTTATAGCATTCTTTGAAATTTTCATCCAACATATTCCAAACATCATCACGACATCGTTGGACCAATAATGTAGGACGATGTTGAACGATGTTGAATGGGGCTTAGGATAAGGAATGTAAATATATTTTATAGTAATAATAGATAGCTTCAAGTTCAATAGCTTCATTTTTGAGACATTTCATTTTGTTCGATATGTACGTAAGTGAACTAGATATCTATAAGCAAATCAATGGGTAATTGCTCATGTTCTGACGTTGCTACTTCAAATGATTATTTGTGTGCATATGTAATAATTTGGGTCATTCCAAGAAGAAATGTAATTTATTATATGAGTATTGAATTTTATACGCGATAAAGTTGTCGAATAAAAACCATATGCCTAAAATTTCTGAGGATCTCATTGGACATATGACATTCGCCACTAGTGAAGAACGTCGTATTAGCCTTCTCATTGGACGTACGGAATTTGTCACTAGTGAAAAATTTCGTATTTAGGCTACTTTTCCCGCCGCGCCACTGGCGTACAAGAAAACAAAAAATCAGTTTTTTTAGATGTCCGTTCGACTTTTGATTTGAAATGGCTTCACGCTTCGCAGAGACACCATCCGTAAGCGAATTCATTGAACAACAGGAGAATAATAATACAAGAAATAAAACACTGCAGGACATTGGACTTCTTCAACAATTTCTATCGTCGAAAAATGAATTGCGAAGGATCGAGGACATTTCCGTAGAGCAACTTAATGAATACCTGAGCGAATTTATTATTTCTGTTCGAAAGAAAGAAGACCAGGGAGAATATGAACCTAGTTCCCTTCGTTCTATGTTTGCCAGCTTCGAGAGGTATTTGAAGAAAAAGAATGGGTTTAGTATCATGATGGATAAGAGCTCTGAACGTGCCCGAAAAGCTTTGCAATCAAAACAAAAAGAGCTCAAGCAAAAAGGAAAAGGGAACAAACCGAACGCTTCCGTTGCTCTTAGCGAAGATGAAGTCAAACTGCTTTACGAGAAAGAACTTTTGGGAATTTCGAGTCGCGAAGCGTTGCTAAACACGGTTTGGTTTAACAATACTATTCACTTCGGCCTTCGTGGTTGCAAAGAACACCGCGATATGTGCTGGGGCGACGTAAAACCATGCAAGAACGCGAATGGAGAGGAATATTTAGAGTATTTTGAGCGACAGACGAAAACACGTACAGGAGACAACCCAAGAGATGTTAGAAAAGTAACGCCAAAAATGTATGCTATCCCCACAAATCCGCCGGAAAAAGATCCTGTCTTTGTTTACAAGTTCTACGCAGAAAAACGTCCGAATGAAATGAATACAGACGAAGCACCGTTTTACCTCGCCGTAAACCACTGCAAAAAGGTTTCATCTGATAAGTCTTGGTTTAAAAAATCTGCTATTGGTGTGAACACACTAAATTCGCTGATGAAAAGAATGGCTGAGAAAGCTGGCCTTGGTCCAAACATCAGCAATCATAGCGGGCGAAAAACGATGATGCAAACTTTGACCAACAACGATGTTCCTCCCACAGACATAGTTCAACTTTCTGGGCATGCAAAGCGTTACGAATTATTCAACCGTAAGCCAAAACCAGCAAATGAAAATGTCTCGAGCCTTAGCGAACTTGGCGACTTGCAAAGAGTCCTCCACTTCGAGTATTAGCGAACAAAAGCCAAACCGGAAAGTCGAACACCAACAACAACAACAAGCAATGGCTTTGTTTTCTGGCGCGGTAATTTAAGGAGGTCACATAAGCATTTCGATAAACAGTTTAAATCAGTCTCCAGTAGCAGTGACAGAAGATGTGTCGCCACAAAAATACAAACGAATAAGATTAATTGAGTCTGATTCAGTTTTGCTTTTATTTAAGCTTAATTTATTGGCTGCCATCCAATCTGAAATATTTGTTAAATCACTGTTTATTTATTTATTTATTAAACTTTGCCAAAAACACGTAACAGAACAGCAAATAGACATCTAGACAATAAACATGGACAAGAATGGCAGGGACACCACAACAGTGTAAACCAATTACTGTGGGCCCTTATACAAAAATACACATACAGTACAGAACATATAACATACAGTACATGGACAGGAGACTAAAAACAACAAGTTAGTTTAGAACGTAAGTAACGACTAGTGTTACACTTCAGACATATAGTCTTCCATGTCCTCGGATCTTCTTCGATGAAGCATTCTCTCAGGGCTGTCAGGTAGTAAGTTTGTAAATCAGTTTTAAATTGCCTAATATTAATGTTAGGAGATCTTAGTGTAGTTAGTAAAGAGTTCCAGGTTCTGGATGCACGAATAAAGAAGGAGCGTTGGCAGGTAGAGGTTTTGCATTTGGCCGGACGGAAGGAGATTTGGTTGCCACTGGAGGAGCTGGTCGTTCTGGTTTGGAACATGACTTCGGGGAGGACGTCATTGGCCCGAGCACACCGGTCTAAAATGTGTTTAGACCAGGTTAGATCGCTCGCGATCCAAATTCCCAGATCCTTCTCTGCTGGTATAGGTGCAAGTTCTTTACCTTTGATGCTGTATACATGATGGATTGGTTGACTACGTCTGGTAATACTAATATTTTTGCATTTTCCTTCGTTAAACACGAGACCGCTTGACATGGACCAGGATTCAAGGTTATTGATGTCGTCCTGGAGTAACATAGCATCGGTGATGGAGTCAATTCTACGGAAGATTTTGGTGTCATCTGCAAAACACGCAACTGTCGAGTTCGTCACAGCGTCTGGTAAGTCATTCACATACAGGAGGAAGAGTATTGGTCCTAAGATACTCTCTTGCGGAACACCAGAGCACACTGGTTTTTTGGAAGAAGTAGCGCCAAGAGTCGTGACGCGCTGTTGGCGGTCATGTAGATACGAGGTGAACCATTGGAGAAGAGATCCGCCGATGTTATACTGTTGGAGTTTGTTTATCAGAACTGTATGGCTGACCTTGTCAAAAGCCTTTGATATGTCCATGAAGATTATATGAAGATTATATCCAACGATATTGATGTGTGTATTGTGACTGAGACCTGGTTAAAAGACGTTGACACTGTTAGCATAGCCGCGCTTTCTCCCCCTGGTTACTCTTTTAAAAACCTTCCTAGACAATCTAACAGAATGGGGGGAGGCACTGGCATTATGTTTAATACCAATTTTAAAGTTACTTTAATTGACGGAGGTGAAAAACGATCTTTTGAATACTCTGAATGGAACTTGGCTTTATTCAACCGTACGATTAAAACATTAGCAGTCTATCGTCCACCTTATTCACAAACTCACCCTGTTTCTTCAAGCGTTTTCTTCCGGAAGAATTCTCCAACTTACTGGAGAGCATTGTTATGTGCACAGAAGTATTAGTAATCTCCGGTGACTTTAATTTCCATCTCGATGATCCGTCTGATACTGACGCGAAAACATTTACTGATTTATTGGAAACTTTTGGCTTATTACAACATGTTACTGTACCAACTCACTCGTCTGGGCATACCCTGGATCTTCTAATTTCGAGATCGTCCAATGACATTAATATTCACCTAGTCAAGACTACTTTCTTTTTGTCAGATCATTGTTTTGTTGAATGCAACCTCTCTTTTCCTCGCCCGAATCTTGTGACAAAGGAAATTCAGTTTCGTAAGACAAATCATTTGAATCTTCAGGCCTTCAAAGCTGACATCACTGATTCCAAACTGTGTAATGACCCATGCTCCAATCTAGATGATTTGGTGAAACATTATGATATATATCACATATTTTGGAGAAACATGCCCCTTTACAAAGAAAGATAGTGGTTGTCAGACCAAGAGTACCATGGTTCAGTGAAGAACTTAAACGTATTAAGGCCAAACGCAGAAAACTGGAGAAAGTAATGCTACGATCAAATTGCCAAAATGATAAAGACGCTTATCGCCAAGTGCGTAACAAGTATGCTACCAGTTTGAAAAATGCTAGACATAAATACTATTCTGATCTTATCGATCAATGCTCGGGAGATTCAAGAAAACTTTTTAAGGTTGTGTCTTCACTTTGCAACACACCTCAAGAAAACTCCTTGCCTCCACATGATGATTCACGTAAACTTGCTGATGAGTTCGGAAAATATTTCTGTCGAAAGATTGAGCTAATTAGAAATGACATTGAAAACGTTGTAGTAGACCCACCATTAGTAGATTATCGTTTACCTGATATCAAATTAGACTCATTTAAGCTCCTGTCAGAAGAAGAAGTCCATAACATAATCATGAAGTCGTCGAATGCAACATGTAACCTTGATCCTATCCCAACATGGCTGCTGAAATTATGTGCCAGTGAGTTAACACCTGTCATTATGAAAATGATCAACTTGTCGTTAAGTGAAGGTCACGTCCCAGAAGCATGGAAAGTTGCCATTCTTATTCCAATTCTAAAAAAATACGGTCTTGATCTAGTCTTTGAGAACTTCAGGCCCGTCAGTAACCTGTCATTCGTTTCTAAAGCTACGGAAAAAGCAGTTGTTAGCCAGTTATTTGAGCATTGTGCTGATAATGCTCCTCTTCCTAACAACCAATCGTCATATCGTCAATTTCACTCTACCGAAACAGCTCTCCTAAGAGTCCACAATGATATCCTTATGAACATGGACCAACAGAAAGTAACTCTTTTAGTGCTCTTGGATTTGAGTGCCGCCTTTGACACCATTGATCATGAAATTCTGATGGATATATTGAAGTTAGAATTTGGTGTAATCGGAAATGCCTTAAAGTGGATTAAGTCGTTTCTTTCCTGTAGAAAGCAGCGCATTAATATTAAGCAAAAGTTTTCCGCCAATTTTACGTTGAACTGTGGAGTACCACAAGGAAGCTGCCTTGGACCGGTCCTTTTCCTATTATACGTGTCTCAACTGTTCCAGATTATTAACAGGCACTTACCTTCTTCCCATGGGTATGCAGATGACACTCAACTTTATTTATCTTTCCGTCCTGAGTCACCCGTTGTCCAAGACCAAGCTATTCAAACTATTAATAATTGCATCGTCGAAGTTCGTGCTTGGTTAGTTTCACATAAATTAATGTTCAATGACACTAAAACGGAATTCTTGATAATTGGAACTCGCCAGCAGCTGTCTAAGGTTACAATCGACTCGATTGAAGTTGGTGATGCTGATATAAAACCTGTACAAGAAGTCCGAAATCTAGGTTCGTGGTTTGACGAACATATGTCGATGAATGTCCATGTGGGCAAGGTTTGCAGCAAAGCATTTAGGGGCTTGTACAACATCCGACAAATAAGGAAGTTTCTCTCCATCGAATCAACTAAAACGCTCGTACATGCCTTTGTGACGTCACACTTGGACTACTGCAATTCTCTCTTGTTCGGCATTCCCCAATACCAACTTCAGCGTCTTCAACGAGTTCTCAATGCCGCTGCTAGAGTGACGTGTCTTATACCAAGATGTGCTCATATTACCCCTGTCCTGATGCACCTTCACTGGCTGCCTGTCAAGTTTCGCGTTGACTTTAAAATTGCACTTCTGGTATATAAAGCCCTCCACGGGATGGCGCCAGGCTACATTATGGAACTGTTGTTAGAAAAACCGAACTGCTGTTACCAACTGAGATCTGATGATCAGGGACTACTTTTCATCCCAAAAACTAGAGCCAAGACTCTTGGTGATCGAGCATTTGTGCATGCAGCTCCGTCAATTTGGAACATGCTACCTTCTGGTATTAGAAATAGTAAAACAATTGACTGTTTTAAATCTCAATTAAAGACTTTCCTTTTTAAGAAAGCTTTCGATTCTAACTTTTAGATTTATAGACACCTATACCTTAATTCTTAATATTTTAGCTACTTGTATATAGTATAACCTCATTGTTGTAAAGCGCTTTGGAATATTTTATATAATTTAAGCGCTGTATAAATCTTTATATATTATTATTATTATTATACCAGAGTCTAAAATGGATCCAATATAGTGCAAAACTTCGTTTCGTTTAGCGTTTTGGTAATTGATTTTGGGTCTTTACCTGCAACTCCTATTTGGGTATCGTATGCAAACATATCACAATCAATTTTTCAAACTACTAGGAAGATCGTTAATATAGATAAGAAATAGTAAGGGGCCAAGAATTGAGCCCTGTGGGATGCCAGTAATCATTGTACGTGGTCCAGACAATTATTAACTTGGCAATATTGGGTACGGTTAATCGTGATATCGTGATCAACAGTATCAAAAGCCTTTTTTAAGTCTAAGAATACAGCTCCATTCATTAGGCCTTCGTCCATATTTTGATACCATTGATTTGTCATTTTTAGCAATGCAGTGACAGTGGTGTGAAAAGGTCTGAAGCCATGTTGTGTACTTGTTAGAATATTAGACTGTTGCAAATAGGAATAGAGTTGGTTGTGTGCAAGTGTCTCCATTGTTTTGGCAATTACCGAAATAACCGATATAGGCCGATAATTGTCCATATTGGATTTAATACCGTTTTTGTAAATTGGAGATACTCTAGCAATCTTCCAGGAGCATGGAAATATGCCAGTTGACATAGACCTGTTAAAGATTGCTGTAAGAGATTTGGTTATGTAAGGAGCAGCCAATTTAATAAGCTTTGCTGGTAATTTGTCCAAACAAGATGCTTTAGTAGTTGATAATGTTGATAATAATTCGTAGAATTCCTGTTCTGTTATATCGCAAAAAGCAAATGCCTGTGTAGCTTCGGTGATATAACTCTCTGGTGGAGTAGAACATGCAGGAATATTTTGGGATAGTATATAACCACAGGGCCGTAGCAACCGGGGGGGCTGGGGGGCTGCAGCCCCCCCCCAATAATTTGCTAATAATCATTCTTTTTTCAAAATCATGCAAACTTTATCATTTAATCTGTGACAAACTGCAAAGAATGAAGATATTACTCATACTCCAGATCGTTCCTCGCGTAGAAATTTTAGCTGAATTTCTGTCGCGCATTTTCAATAAAATCCCACAAAATCTGCACATTTTTGATGAACTAATGATTTATTTTGTCTTTTGCGTGTTGGGTCTTGCGAAAGAAAACTCTGAAAATGCCATTTCAGACCATCTAGAGACTCCAGATTTTCGAAATTTTCTCAAATGTTCTGCCTTCATTTCCGCGCAACTGCCATTTACGACGAAAATTCCTGCCGCGCATTTATAATACTACAGTCTGGCCCATACTTTCCTGTAAATTTCGACATACTAAAACGCTGTTTTCTGACTATCAGAATTCTGTTAAATCTTCCCCCAAAGTCCAGGAAATGGCATTTTAGAGACTCTAAATTTAAAAATTTCCTCGGGCCGAAGGCCCTCGCTTTCAGCCCCCCCAATCGAAAAGAGCTTCCTACGGCCCTGAACCAAGATCTGTGAAGTGATTGTTAAAAGCTTCAGGTATATCATTTATATCGATTGGTTCACCGTTTTTATTGCAGATTTCATTCACATTTGAAGACAATACAATAAATGTACAGTACTGTATGGAAATGAGCTCTTTTAACTTGTTGTAAAAGGCATCAGATCTTTCATTTACTTGTGCCTTCAACAATTAATATGCATGCCTATTTAACCCATTAAGCTGCAGAGTTTCCTGTTGACGAGTAAAATCGTCTGGCGTTAAACCAGTAGAAAAATAAGCAGGGTGCACTCGGGCGCAATGGGTTAACTGGAGACATTGTCAGATTTTTTGGTTAACCCATTAAGCTGCAGAGCGCCGAAGAGGAGGGGGTCATATCATTTTTCGCTACTAAGAGTGTAGTAAAAAGTTGCTCAAAAAGGAAAAAGTTGCTTGAAGTTGCTCGAGCCGACAAAAGTTGCTCCAAACGCAAAAAGTTGCTCAAAAGTTGCCGAGCACAATCGGGACATGCCTAGCAGAGCTTCCGTTGACGAGTAAAATCG